GATTCTGCAAGGGCTACTGGCAGTTTTGCATAGGGAAAGCCATGTGGACTCTGAACTCCTGATCAGAAGGTTGCAGATTCAAATCCCAGATGAAGATACTGCTTCTGTACTTTGCCCATAAATGTGTACCAAAATTTGATAAAAACAGATTAATGGTTAATGACTGTTTCCTTAGCCAGTTAGTCAGAGTACCTACAAAGGGAAATGCTTGTAATGATCAAATAATCAAGTAAAAATGAGCCAAACAGAAATGAGACACGTATTAGGGAGCTGCCATATGAGAACAAGCATCATGCTATGATTAGAATGCGATACTAACAGTGATCTGATGACTGTGCTACGATTTACAGATGTTTTGAGCGGTAATGATGGATGGGTGGACACAAGAATACGAAGTCATACTAAATATGTTCTGTATGTTACTCAACAACTTTGACATTTTGTTATTTCATGTGTAATAAATCATAAAGTTACAATCACTTTTACATATTTAATAATTATGGTTGAAAATACAGTACATGTCGGGTTCAAAACTGTTCTGGTACACATAGTCCTTCAGTTTTATGGAATCATGATAACCTTACCAAAGTACAACCAATAAAGGAAAAATCAAAATCAGTTATCAATTTACACAAAAAATCTTAACATACATAACAGAATTTAACCAAATCAGTCATCTCAGCTGCACACTCTTTTCATACTTTTAGAAATGTCTAGAAATGCATATCTTTACATTCATTCATCATCTCCTCCCAGAATGTTCTTAAGCTTTCTATGCTGTATAGTTACTGGACACACTGTCCCATCTTATTTCAATGGTATTCACATTAAGAGATATTTAGCTTCTGGAACAACACAATTTTATTTAATTGCATTCAAATTTGTGGCTTAAGATGTAGGAGTTTGTATAAAAAGAAAACAACGCAACCCCTACGAACAAAGAAACACTTTTATAAAACGAAAAGTCAATATTTATTCTACTTAACTTATTTATTTAATTTCTGGGATAGGCGCCGGCTCCCCAGGGATCCTGTGATAAAGCGGTTAGAAAATGGATGAGTGGATGATATTAGGAAACATAGTGTTGTCCACTGGATGGCAGTACAGTCCTTCCTTGCCACAGGTCCAAAAGCAGCTCCTTCATCCCAGCACTCAAAACAACTTGGCATGCCTTTAATTGGCTTAAGTGTAGTTTCTAGTTTTTGTCTAGAAACTAAAATGAAGACTGCATAGTTTTCATTTATGAGAAAGAATATTCCAACGATTATTGGACTTTTTCATTTAAAAAAATTGCAGTATGTAATATCTAGTAAAAAGTTAATTTAATAACTTGGAACCAAACAAAATCTAAAGTAATTGTAATGTAGACAGACTGGAGCTATAAACTCCAACTCATTAGAAATCAGCTGTGAAGTAGAATCCATTCATAAACTAATCCCGACAAAGCTCAAATAAACATAAAATACCTTTGCACCTCCAGTAACAAGAATTTTTGTTCAATTTAAGATGTGTCGGTAAAGATGTTTGGTCAGAATTCTTTTTTTTCCACACTGTTCAAGATTTTCATACTAGACTGAAAACACCATACATGAATAAAGTTGCTTCATTCCTTAAAAGAGCATTGTTCTGTATACCCGAGCCTCATATACAGTACGTGTTTGGGTTGTGATAAAGTCTTGTACACTGAGTATGAAAAGAAACTTGTCAAATATAACTACAATAAAATCCACAAACTTATCAGAAAAATGTCAATATTTTTTTGTAGAGTGCATTGGCTTCTTAATGAACAGATATGATATAGTTAATTTTGTCATATGGTATAGATATTTATTTTATCACTGGGGTTGAAAAATAGGGGCTCTATATGAAAGTAAAGATCTAGTAGCATGTGTGGCCAATGTTAACAACAATACAGAGTGCACCATATTTTCACCATCCATTGCACCATATTACAGATTCTTTCTTGTGGGATTCTATCCCATTTGTCTTGTAGAGCCTAGGCATGACCCTCCTTACTAGTCTGTGAACTAATAATAATAAACACATTATTCCAGTTTATCTGAAAAATGTTCAAAGGAACTTAGGTTTGGTGAGAAGGGCATACCTGGACCTGATTGTCACCTTCATACATTGCAAGAAAGCCATTATGAAACAAACAGCATGACAATCTTATCACGTTAGCGTGAGCCAATAGAAAAGGGCATCAAGTGAGGTTCCAGGACATGACCAATGCCATGCAGTTAGGCTGTTATCAATCACTATAGTACAAGGGGAGTTTTGCAGTGTCTAGATTCTCCTGTTATCACACTGTAGCTCTGGGATTTCCCTGTTAATCTTGTGAGGTGTTGTGCAGTCCCATATTGTGTCCTATCATCCATGGGCTGCATTTGGCTGCAAAGTTTTGCCAGGTTAGAAATTACTGGCTGTGAACACACCAGATGGAGCAACAGTGTGCTGACTTAGTACAGCCTTCGACATACCAAAGCCAACACGAAGGTGTTGTTCCCATGATATGTGAATATATTGTTTTTCTGTGTTTTTCTATCATGATTGTTTCAAGGCTTCACATTTAGCAGGCTATACCACTTCATCACCTGTGCCAATCAGGTCTGAGGTGATTTAATACTGCTCCATGCAACATTCAAACATTCAAAGTCATGCTTTGTATGAGTGTATCACAGTGAGTCACGAGTGACAAAATAATCAAAGTGATAATATATACCATACACCCATTTTTCTCACCACTTTATCCAATTTGGGGTTGCAGGGGAGCCAGAGCCGATCTCGGCATGCAACAGGACGGTACAACAGTTCATCACAGCGCAGACACACAAGCATGCACACACTCACAACTAGGCCAGTTTTGCTAAAAGCAATTTTCCTGCCAGTATCCAGCATCTTACAGTTTGTGCCAGAAACCAGAGCACCCAGAGGAAACCCACACAAACATCAGGAGAACATACAATCTCCACAAAGATAGCATCGTAGGTCTAGAATTGAACCCAGGCCCCAGTGAAACAGCACTGCTATCCCCTGGGTCACCATGCCACCCCCAATCCTATACTGTATATAATATCCAAAAATCAATATACTATCCAAAAATAGATATACTTTATTTTTCTAAACACATATATGTGGACATAAATAGAATGATATTGTAACGCTTACGGCCGACAGGCACTGTGTAAGAGCCGGCGTACCAGAGCAGGTGACGTCACCGCCCTTCCCTGTGATAGCAGGACTACAGCTACTGGGCTGTAGAGAGATCTCTCTTTGGCTCACCGGGCTGGGTCCCTGCAGAGTGACGCGGGAGTCCTGGGTTCGAGCCCCCGACAGTGGGGGGTCGACCTAATGCGGCAAGGGCGCCCGCCTTAGCCCCCGTAGCGTTACAATATGTTTATTTTATTTTGAGACGTTTTTAGTCCAGTTGTCTACAATCATGACAGTTGTCATGAGTTCATGATAGGATTTCACAGTTTTTTTTGCCTTTTGGCTTTTTCTTGACTCACTTTTCTTATGTTTGATTTAGGCCTTAAAACCATCCAAAAAATTCACAGATGTAACCCAAACAACCAATTAAAGTTCATAAAGGAAACAACCATCAGGTGAAGCAAACATGTTTAACTCACAAATTAGAATGCACCTGTTATTAGAGACTTTTTAAAACTAACAGTTTTTAAAACTACCTAACTTTTGTGGAACATGATTCACTTAGGTCATTCAGAGACCTACATAATTAGATTGGTGCTATAAACAACAAAACACTGTAAGTACAATTACACTCTCCTGGTTGTTATTCTTTAGTTCTTGGCTTAGTAGAAAATGGCTGTCTGTATTGTCTGATGTTTATTGTTGCACTTGAAGTGCACACAGGCAGTAGGTTTGTAACTGTACACATGTCCCTGCATGTATAAGCCACCTATGTTTTCATCATTGTGATATCTCTACTACCATTCCTTCATCAGGTCTCAGACAAATCACAGATGATCAATTATACATCATAGACAACATCAGAGACTTTAACTACACATTTGCATTTAAGCATGTAATTATCTAATGGTGAATTAAAAAGAGTCTTTGTAAAATAAACTATCTAGATCTAGATATGGATGTGCAAATCTTTATAATAAGAAGATACAATGTGAAATTGTTAGTGAGCAGCAGGAGCTATTTTTAATTATCATTTTTTGTATTTTTGTGAATTCCAAAATTGTTAGTAATTTGCTTTATTTGCAAACCTATTTTCCATAGTTCTATGCTAGCTATAAAAATCTTTTAAAAAAATTACTTTATCACTCTGGTTAAGAAACAAAGTGTGAAAATGCTACACTTAAACCATTACACTGTTTCAATTGAAATGTCTGAAGCAAAGATTAATTCGTCAACCAGATGCAGCCTTAAACCTTAACGAAGATTTTAACGAAGGTTTTCAGCTATGCATGTCAAAGACAAGGCTTTTATACAGGTGTTGTGATTCTAGCATAGTTACTTTATTTAGTGTTTTTTAAATTATTGTAAGTAAAGAAATATGAGTTCTTCCAAATGGCATTAAAGGTCAAGCAAGACCAATTTAATCTCCTGGTGTATTTTAGAGACCTACTTTAATTTTCAGGCCTGTGATATCAGTCTGTGGCGTGTTGCATAAAATTAGATAAAACTGTACGATTTAACGCAGTAGAAGACTGCCTAATCATAAAATCCCAGTTTAAGTAAATTGCAAGTGTATGGCTTTAATGCAGGATGTTTACGAGGATAGATTTCTACATAAAACTAATTGTGCGAATTTATTGTTCGCTTCATTCATTATTAATATACATATATAGCTGAATATATTTTTAATCAAGGCTGTCGAATTCCACACTACTGTAGGTGGAGAGGAGATAAACTCTTTGTTTACTTCAAAAAAAGCTACAGTAGGTGGTGGCAACGCAATTCAGACTTGCTGTTTAGGACCCAGTGGTGTAACGGGAGAGGGGAGGAGTACGCATTGATTGACAAGACTTGGCGAAAGCAGTAGCAGGCGCCACAGAGCTAGAGAACTACAGCCATAACGCCGAGTGTCACTGTGATTATTACAAATACAGTATAAAACTTTACCGTCACTTCTGCGTCACAAAACAACGAGAAATACGAGTAAGCGATGTCTTTCTAGCCTTGATCTCCGCTCATTGCTGTTCCTTGCAGAGCTGATAATGCTTGAAATGAAGCTGCCCATGAAAACGGCGGAGGAAGGAGGAGACGATACGGCCGAGGACGAGCAGGAGCAAACCGATTACAATCTCCATATTCCTACTTCGGTCTCCCAGACGGCTTCCAACAGGTTTGCCGCTTCCCCAAGAGGACTGGGCTACCCTCTTGACTTGGATAAAGAGACTGTGTTCGAGTGGTTCGGTTTGTACCTGAGTCCGTCCAAGCGAATCGAGTTAATGTGCGGTCTGCTTCATATGTGCCAGCCGCTAGAGCTACGCTTTCTGGGTTCCTGTCTGGAGAATCTTGCCCGGAAAGATTTCCATATCCTAAGGGACTCTGAAATAAGAGCAAATAATCCCAATGATCTGGGCCTTTTGACGGACGTTTCTGACCCTGTCATTCGGTCCAAACTGCTGGTCTGTCTGTCTCTTTTGGGTTCGGAAAACCGAGAGTGCGCGGGGATACTATTTCGTATATTGAGCCATGTGGATTCTGCCTTGTACTTCAAGAACTATGGCTTTGCTGTCTCTTCGTGTACTGACCCTCAACATTTCCAAATCCATCCTTCGTGCGTTGACGGACAACAGATGGGGGGATCAGCGCAGGGCTGTGGGCCTCCAGTGGAAGCTGGGGCCGGTCCCCTAGAGCAGCTGGCTCTGCTTTTTACTATGGCCTCCCTGCACCCGGCGTTCCCTTTTCACCAGAGAGAGACTGTTAGAGTGCAACTGGAAAAAGTGGAGGCAGCGATCGAGGAAGAGAGGCAACACTACCAGCACAGTAGCAACGCCATGGTAAAAATAAAAATGCGGTCTAAAAATACCTTAGTGCCACGGTACACTAAATATTCACCAATGATCGTTTCACAGTGCACCTATGCGTTCCAGTGCTAAACGTCTGGCCATTTTATTTTATTGGTATGGTATTGCCATATTTACACGAATAATGCATTAAGACGATAAAATAAAATAACTGTCACAGCAAATGTATCATTAATAGTTTAGTTATTACATCTTAATTCTGTATCATTACTGTTTCTGCCTCCTTTTGAAGAGCATTTTGGTGAAACAGAATTGAACATTTGGCTGATTTATATTACAATGCTCATGCTTAATTTGGAGGCTAATTTTAACATAATAGACATAGTTGCAAAGGTTTGTGGTAGGCCTTATGCTCCATTCTAAATTTGTACGACGTGTTTTATTGAATGTCTGCACAATTATAAGTGTCCGCAGGTGTTTGTCTGACGTGCTTGTGTAATTTGTGAAAATTGTGCACTAATGTCGAACGTGACTGCTACCTTGCTGTAGCAGAAAAACTGGCATGTTGAATCGAGGGAGTTCCTAGCCCTGATCAGTATTCATGTCTGGTGATCTTGAAAGCTGCCCACGAAAAGCCATTTGATATAGACTATTTTTTCTAGGACTTTGTATATAAATTCGCGTTGTGCAGAGAAAGGATGGAAGACTTAAAACGAGTTCTATGTTGTTATAGATCCTTTTAATTGTATATCCTTTTTTAAAAATCAAAGAGGCTGTTTGCCACTAGGTGTCGTATCGGCTTCCTTCTTGACAGACCGCTGGCTACTCAAAAGTAGCTGTAACGTTTAATGTCTGTGCGACTAGTAGGAATGGGGTAGGGGGGGGTAGGTCAGGCACAGGCGACTTCCTCATGAGCACCAAAGTGGAAGGTTTGATATTTACACGACTTTTTCACAGAGGGGGCACTGACATAGCCGGAAGTGTGTCCAGCGTTTCCTAGACTGTTCTCAGCTCCGGGAAACGAAACCTAGGAAAATGAAAGCTTTCAAATATGGTAATGTAGGTCACACATGGTGCCACGAATGCTCCGCTTTTAAAAAGCGAGACATTTTGTTATATCAAGTTAGTTTAGGGAATCTATTATGTAATGCTCCTTGCTGACCTGCAGAAAATATTTATTTCAACAGTTCATTCGTCTTCGGTTTGACCTTACCAAACATTATGCAAGTGAAAATGGCAAAGGGCAAGTATAGCTTACCAGCAGCTAGCTTTGCTTAATTTCTTTTTGGAGCTGGTGCGGAGGAATTGATATCAAAATACATAAAGCTTATTCACATATTGGGGAAAACAACCCATACAGGTCTAGACCTTTCTGTGTTCATGCTTGATTTAAAAATCATTTACAGTTTTTCTGCATTGTTTAATCTTCTCTAACTTGAATCGTAGCAAAATGTCAAACATTAATTTTAATAGTCCCTTCTTGTATTGACTTGATTTACGTAGCACTAAACAGTTGGTGGAATGCTAATTGGATATATCAAACCCTATTGTTATTACTTAAAACTAATGTTGATGTGCACTTTATTTTTTTTTTAAACAGAATAGATTCAAGATAGATCAGATGAGAAGTGTTTTGGGTGTTGATCTCCTTTTATACTAGTTGCACATTCTTCTGTATTTTTTTTGCAGTTAAGCTATTCCAGAAAAAAATGGGCTTCTGTAACAGCATCTCGTACCTGAATTAGAGGAACTTTGATGATGTATAATGCAAAAGTATTATAGGCTAGCTTTGTGTCTCACTAATGGTTTCCCTTTCCTGCTAATCAGCCCTGCAGTTTTTTTCAGAAACTAGCAAAACAGCTTTGATGCCAAGAACAAATGTAAGAAGCATTATTTCATAACACTGGTTACAACAATAAATCAAAAATTACATCTCTCCAATAATTTGGTTAGTGTTGGAGTACATTCTTGGATTTCTTATTTGAAGATTTCACTTAAGTTAATGCTTAATGTATGTTTGAGACGAGTAAGCTTTTATTTCTTTCTGAAAATGTATCAGTGGCGGGTGAAGAGATTATAAATAAGCACAACTTGACAACAACAGTTAACGTGTACGTATTTCTAGGATTGAGTTAAGTGTTCTACCATCTGGAAATTTGGTTGTATTGATCATCTATTAGTTACATGAAGGTCTTCTCTGCTTTAAGTTTGGTAGCAGTATATAATGACCATACAAGTGTAAAGTTTTACAGTTCTGAAAATTGTGACTTAGCTATAAAGAAATCTCTCTCCTGAATGTTCTGGGAGTCCATTTAATGTATAGAAGAAAACGTAAGCATCTGATAGTACCATGACCGAGCTACTGCTCAAGTGAGTATATGGGGCTTAACATGATTTTACATGCTAGTGGTCCATAACAGCCCTTACTAGTGTAACCTTAAACAGCTAGTAACACAACTGTTTGTGATACCATTGGTATCACAGAGGTTGTTACCTTACTTTTGCCATCTCTCCATTTTTCTTTCGGATATTGTGCTGTTGTCACCGCAAATATATGCAGAGGTTTGACTTGTCAGTTTCTCAGTCTCACCCAAGTGTATTGATTTTCCTGTATTTTATTTCTATATCTGACACTGTTCTTTTACGATTATTCTTTTGAATTGGCACATGGTTTCAGGCTGATCCATTTTAATTTCTCCACCTTTTAGAGTACAACAATCAGCTTCTGAGAGCTTGCGGCACCTAAATTCCTTCAGTTTTGGTTCAATACAATATGACGCAAGTGGCTTTTGTGGAGGGTTTGAAATTGAATGCTGACTTTCAAGGACTGGAAAAAATGCTACTTGGTAAGAATTGAGGGTAAATTCAGTCATTCCTGACAAATTGGAGCAACTAATACTCCAGTTTGATTGGGGTATTAGGTGTTACAATTTGTCACGGAATGGCACATTTCATATCGTCATAAAATATTAAAGCCCCAGGCCCTTACAGTACAGGTGGTTTTCTGCTAGTAGCTGACAGCTGACCCCGACCCAAGCTGTGAATTCTAAGCTTGGCAACAAATCTAAATCTGGCCCCAAGCTGAGAGAGTGTGTATAGGCTATGTGTATTGGGGCTTGTCAGTTTCATCATTGCATTTATCGCTTTTGTCAGGTGTCAGCAATCAAGGAATCAGTACCATCGGCGAATGTAAAACTGCAGAGCACATAGCTGATCAGTTGTAATTATTCATTAGGTTATTGTCTTGGACGCTGTTAGAAGTTGTTGCTCGACATGATTAATCTTAACAGAGTAAGAGAAAAATGATTGCTCACAAAGTTGAGTAATTATAATTGTCTACTAATAATTTTTAGATCATTGTCTTGATTTGTAATGAACTAAGCTAGTACAATTTGAGCCCTTCCTCTATGTTTTGAAACTGAGAAGAACTTAAATCACTATCCTGCTTTTCAGGAAAGAAAGTTTTCATTGGCAAATTAAACCAGGTGCTATGATTTGACGCAAGAAACAAGGTTTAAAGTTTTTTGGCGTTTAATTATAATTGCAGAAGTCATATTGTATTGTATTAGTCCTGGTGCTCTCCTTGTGAAATGAATAATTTAACAAATCACCTGGTTATTTGATCACAGTGGAATTGTTCCATTTCTTTAGAAACTGTTGATTTAATGATGACGTATTAAACCTACTGGAATAGTGTTCTCCAAGACCAGAGCTGGAGATTTGCGTAATCAATTATGTTAGGAAATTAGCTAAGAGGTGTATTGATGACAGTCATTGTAGAGAACTGCTACAGAGTAACTTCAGTCTATTATTGAGTATGAACATTACAGAATGTGTCCCGCTTTAACATAAGTACAATAAAGTGGTATTAATACAGGCTAGTAACTGTGTCAGACAGTCCTTTAACATTATCGTCGTAGTCGTAGTAAGGTGATCCTGGGTTCGATTCGATCTCATGGCATCTGGGTGTTCTTCTCGTGTTGGTGTGAGTTTTGTGCTAGTGGCTCTGGTTTCCATCCTCTGCCCAAAGGTATGCAGATTTGGGTTGCTGGTTACTCTACTTTGTCCAATTCAGAGGCAGGTGGGGTTTAAGGAGAATTAATACATGGATGGTTTAATCCAATAACCAGCAGTGGGGCTTTAGGCCACAGGGCAATAAAACCAAATGAGTGGGGTTTAAAGGCCTGTTTTTCATTTATATCTGTTCCAATGTCCTGAGTACTTGGATACAACAGCATTGAGCCCATGTGTCATTGCAAATGGCATCAGGTTCATGGCTTTTACCCTCTAGCTAGAAAAGTATGCTTGTCTCTTTTTAGCTGTGTTCAGGATGTCAAAGTCTCTTACTGAATTACAGTATCTGCTCTAATTTATGTATGTACAAAAAACACATTTATTTAAGAAACCATCAGTACTAATAGTATTGCAGTCAAAATGTTTGACAGACAATTTTATGTACTAGAGTTTTGGGCCCTTGAGAGCTATTTTAGTAAGGTGTAGAAAAAACATGCAGGGTTTCCTCACAGCTGAATCATATGGTCACAGACAAATACTGTGTCATTGCTTCAAGGGTTTCCTTCATTGCTTGCCACTTAATTTTCCAAAGTGAAAAAAGACGTACAGTATATAAGACAAGCCTCAATGAGAGCAAAATAAGAAACAGGGCCTTAATAGCAAAAAGAACACAATGATGGCTTGATACAAGCAGAAAATGGCAAATAATGCCTTTCAAGCACAAAGCTCTTCCTCAGGAAGGATCATGGGTATCCTACATCTCTGATGAATCTTATATAATAATACTAGTTGACGTCAAATGTCTTATTCAGGATGATATTGTTTATACCAATAATAAGATAGCTAGTTAGGTACTGTACTAGCTTTTGAACTGTTAGATAGCTAGGTTGAGGGGGGGGGTTACCACCTGGCCAAAGTTTTTTCCTGTGGGAATCCAACACAAATGCCGCTGTAGAGAAATAATCTAGCAAAGCAGTGTTCAGGTTAGGTTGACTGGTAAATTGTGCTTATAGTAGTAA